CTGTTGATAATTCTAATAATAAATCAGCATATTAGATTGATTTCTGAAGATCATGTGACACTTTATACTGGAGTAATGATGATGGAAATACAGCTGCGCATCACAGAAATACATTAAAGTTTAATCTACATTAAAATAGGAAAACGTTATTTTACATCATAATAATATTTCATAATATAATTTTTTTCCTGTATTTTTGATCAAATAAATGCAGCCTTGATGAAGCTTTAATTTCTTTAAAAAAAAAAGAAAGAATAAAAATGTACTGACCCCAAACTTTTTGAACTGTAGTGTATATTGTTAGAAAATATTTCTATTTTAAATAAATGCTCTTCTTTTTAACTTTTTATTCATCAAAAAATCCTGAAAAAAAGTATCACAGGTTCCAAAAAAGCACTGATAATAAATCGGCATATTATACTGATTTCTGAAGATCATGTGACACTGAAGACTGGAGGAATGATGCTGAAAATACAGCTGCGCATCACAGAAATACATTACAGTTTAATCTACATTAAAATAGGAAAACGTTATTTTACATCATAATAATATTTCATAATATAATTTTTTTCCTGTATTTTTTATCAAATAAATGCAGCCTTGATGAGCATAATTTGAAACTCCTGTAAAAACATTAGAAATCGTTCTTATCCCAAACTTTTGACCTGTAGTGTATATATAAACAAAAATACTACAAATGACAATGAACGAACACAGCGAACTTACTAAAACTTTAAATAAAATGAAAATTATGTAAAATATGAATAATCGTAAAACTAGAATCATATCTCAAAAACACAAGCACACCTACAGATTTAGTGCTGATCACAGTTTATACTGAGAAATTAGACTGAAAAGCAATGAGTAATACAATTTGTAGAATTTAGTGCCTTGGTGTTTTACCAATTAGTGCTGGACATATTAATACACTGTACTTTTTTAAACTTGTAAATAACCCAATGATTATTTGCATACATTTACAAGAAAATACTTTCAGTCTTTCCACTTCAAAATTATTATTTTGGTAACACTTTATTTTGATTGTCCACTTTAGACATTCTACTAACAGTAAGTCACTTTGCAACTACATGTCAACTAGCAGTCATTAGAGTATTAATAGACTGTCTGCTTAATATCTTCTAACACTGAATTTTGAGTCCACAACATGCAACATACTGACTATGAGAAACTTTGCAAGTATATGTCAGCTTATTCTACTAACCCTAAACCTAACCTAACAGTCTACTCTGAGAGTTGGTAGACATGTAGTTGCAAATTAATGAGAATTAGTTGACATGTAGTTACTTATAGTTAGTAGAATGTCTAAAATGGACTATCAAAATAGAAGATTTTAGATATTTTGGCTGAAAACAAGACAAAAAATCGAAGTAAGAAAAGCATTTTTTTGCAGTGTAAAACATTTTATTCCTAAAAAAACTTTATCTGTTTGCATCTGTATTTCAATTTCAAACCATACGTTTAAAGAGTTTTTTCCCCTCCATTTCAGCGGCACTTACAAACGTTTTATTCCTATCTATATTCTGAAGGATTTTACTGAGGGGTTTGTACATATATCATTTGCATGGTTTTATTTTTGCACTTTATAATATTTTCTTATTTACTGTATGTAACATTCCTAAAACGTTATCTATTTGTGACTGTGTATTTCACATACAATACCATTTTTTAAAGGCTATGAGTTTTTTCTCCACTTCAGTAACAGTTACATACACCAAATTTTACAGTTTTATTCCTATCTATATTCTGAAGGTTTTTATAGAAGGGTTTGTTCATATATAATTTGCCTGGTTTTATTTTTACACTTTATCTATTTGTGTATTTCAATTCCAATCCACATCCTTAAAAGCCGTTTTCTAAAAATGAGTTTGTTTCTCCACTTCAGCAGCACTTACAAAGACCAAAATGTACTGTTTTATTCTTATCTATATTCTGAAGGTTTTTGTAGAGGGGTTTGTTCATAGCATTTGTCTGGTTTATATAACAGTACTAAAACTTTTTATTTCCGACTGTAGATTTCAATTCCATAATTTCCATTCCATATCTTTAAATGTTTTTTTCTCCAGTTCAGCAGCACTTTCATACACCAAACTTTACAGTTTTATTCCCTTCTATATTCTGAAGATTTTTACTGAGGGGTTTGTTCATACATAATTCACAACGATTTATACAACATTTTATTCCTAAAAACATGATGAAAATTACTTTTTTCTCTCTGATGATAGTATTTTATGATTTATGGAGTAACAAACAAAAAGAGAAATCAAATGCCCCCTCTGTAAAAACCTTGAGCTCTCATGTCAACAAAATCAAAAGAATTTTTAACCTGGCTTTTGAATGTACTGTGATGAATCAAATAGGCAACGCATGTTGATATATATTAGTTAACATTTTACTCTATTTACCTGTGTTGTCTTGCCTTATAATTTGTTGTAATACATATTGGGACCAAAAAACATATTTCCTTAAGGAAATTACTTACAAATTTAGCCATGCTGAACCCTAATCTTGAGTTTATGAACTTGTGGAGATGTTCAATGGAGGTCAAATTCATTTCTAGCTCAGAGTTGAAGGAATAATCCATTGCATTTGTCTTCCCTGTGATCTCCTCAGTTCAGAAAGTGTGTGGTTCAGCTCTTGAGCTGCAGTGACGTCACCGTCATCGAGAGGAACATCAACCAGACCACTGAGCGCGCAGGCATGACCAATGAGAGCAACACAGGAGAGATGTCCGCCATCGCTGGAACCGTCCCACCTAAAACAGAAGAGCATCCCAATGAACGCAGCTCCTGCGCCCAAATTCCCATTCCTGAGAACAAAGTATGTCCGATGTGAAGACACGCGTCAACACCTTTGTTTGTCACTCAATGCATATTTTCTTTTGAATGCTGGCATCAAACTTTAGTCTAAAAATCATTGATCCAGCATTAAATTCTGCAGCTTGTGCGCTGAAAAAACGCTGAAACATGCAGTGTTGGGGATGAAACTACTCTCATAATTCACTACAAAAACAAGAAGGTGGTTAAAGAGCGACATATTTTAAAATGTAATTTGCATTTATTTGAAAGCTTTATTTAGCAACAATTTCACAAATATGGATGCAAAAAATAAAAAGAGAGATTAATTTGCAATACAGGCCTTTATGTATAATGCATTATACAGGTATTTATAATGTATTGTAATGCATTAAATATTTTCATAAATAATTGTAACCAAAGTTAAAAATGCATTATATTTGCATGATTGCTTGTTATAGCTGAAATTGGTTGTTTGTCATGTGTTTTAATGCATTATACTTTTTAAAGGTGTAACATTGAGAAGATATATATATATATAACTGTTAGTATTATATTATATTATTATGTAAGTATTATAATTGTGGTTACAATTATTCATGATGTCATTACAAGTTGCATTAAAAAGCATAATTAATCCATGCTTTTATAAAGCAAATATAAAAAATATATTTGTGACTTTTTATCTCACAATTTGGACTTTTCTTCTCAGAATTGCATGTTTATGGCTCACAATATTGATTTTTCTCTCTCTCTGAATTCTGAATTTGCATTTTGAACTTTTTTGTGTTTCCAAAATGCAATAAAAATATAAAAAAGTTAGTTGTGACATACTTTTATAATCCATTATATAAAGGCTTCAAATAAGGTGTTACCACTAATACCATCCTGAAACTATCCTTGCTCTAAAAGTACTATGGCAATATCATGGTACAGTGATATCACAGTATGTCAATATGTGACCCTGCAGCACAAAAGCAGTCATAAGCAGCACAGGTATATTTGTAGCAATAGCCAACAATACATTGTATGGGTCAAAATGATAAATTTTTCTTTTATGCCAAAAATCATTACATGATATTTACGTGGAACCCCAAATAACTGCAAAGAATTCAATGGAAGAATGATATGAACACAAATGTTTAAATGCAGTAAACCTACTGTATGTGGTCTAAAATACGGCATTTTTTAACAGCTGGACTACTGGAAAAAGCATTTATATTCAGTTACTGCCCAACACGGCATAAATTATTCCTGATTGTTGATTGTTGATCATCAGTTATACTGAACTTTTAGGCTTCTTCACTGCAACATTTGCACAATTATTAAAGAAATCAACAGAATGCAAATCAGTCAGGCACTTAACACAAGATTACATGTGTATTTTCAAAATGAAGGGAATAAGTCAACATGCAAACAGACAAACAAGCCAAAATTACAAGTGCCCTTCAGTGTGGCAACCGCTGGCGGCCAAACTCAGAGATTCTGCCAACGGTTATGTAATGCTCTACTTTTGAAAGTATGTCCCCGACATCTCCTGCACTGTTATCTTTATCCTGAAAGTTACTGGCATATTTCACTGTATCTTATGCATTATATGTTTATTGTATGCGCTGATCTCTGCCAGAAAAACACACACACAAGCTCTGATGATGCAGCTTTCTCGACAACTGAATGTGTTTTTATTTTTTTCCTTTATGAAAGGAAAATCAAAACTCAGATTTTTGAGTTCAGATCATCTGCCAGAACTCTGTTTCAGTTCAGCTGTTTGCACTTTTTAATTTTTAATTTTTATTTTTTTATAAATTAACACTTATTTATCAAGGATGCATTAAATTGGTCAAAAGTGACAATAAAGGCATTTATAATGCCACAAAAATTTATATTTGAAATAAATGCTGTTCTTTTGAACTTTCTATTCATCTGTGAATCCTGAAAAATAAAATGCATCAGTTTCCACAAAAATATTGTGCAGCACGACTGTTTTCAACATTGATAATACTCAGAAATGTTTCTCGAGCAGCAGATCAGCATATTATACTGATTTCTGAAGATCATGTGACACTGAAGACTGGAGGAATGATGCTGAAAATACAGCTGCGCATCACAGAAATATATTACAGTTTAACAGATATTCACATAGAAAACAGCTGTTTTAAATTAAAATAATATTTTACAATTTTTACTGTATTTTTTACCAAATAATAGCAGCCTCGGTGAGCGGAAGAGACTTTTCAAAAACATTTTTAAAAAATCTTACTGACCCCAAACTTTTGAAAGTTTGATTTAATGAGAATAATTTTGCCACTGCCAATTCATTTACATTTAGTCATTTAGCAGACGCTTTTATCCAAAGCGACTTACAAATGAGGACAACAGAAGCAATCAAAATCAACAAAAGAGCAACAATATGTAAGTGCAAATTACAAGTCTCGGTTTCACCATGACTGCCCTAGTAACCACCCTGAGTACCCTAGCAACGGCCCTACCAACAATCCTGGGTACCCTAGCAACCGCCCTAGCAACCACTCAGAGTACCCTAGCAAACGCATAGCAACACCCTAGCAATCACCCCGGGTACCTTAGCAACCGCATAGCAGCACCCTAGCAACCACCCTGGGTACCCTAGCAACTGCATAGCAATACCTTAGAAACCAGCCAGAACACCCTAGCAACTGCATAGACAGTTTCAAATTCAGTTGTTTTCATGAGTGAACTGGGCTGTACGTATAATGTATTTGTCACTCATTTAACTACTGCAGCATCGACTCTCCCGCTGACTGACGAACACACTAAACCCATTGAGAACTAGGACACTTGCACGCACCGTCGTCACCAAAGAGTGCTGAAACCATCAATCAGATGTCTAAATCTGGTGTCTACATCACAGAGATTGATTCGCTAAGGTTAGCGTGATGCATCAGTCCAACATCAAAATGCATCAGTCCAAAATGCATCAGTCCAACATTAAGAGGAGTTTCTTCACCAACTCAGTTCTGGCTTTTAATTTACATATAAACACAACTGTTTACATGGAGACAGTCTACAGATCCAATATTAGCACCTGCATAAGACAGAGCAATAACATTACACGTAGCATTAAATCTGGGCTTTACAGTAATTCAGATGATCATTGAAAGAAATGAAAGAGGCACCAAAAATGGAATTGCAAAAATAATGAGGTTTCCAAACATACGGATGCATGCAGAAGTCAGGCATTATTATGACGCTTCTGCCTTATTTTCTTGCGGTCATCTTGACATGAGTGTTATCTTGAGAAGACAGAATGATAATACTGTGAGGTTAAATTCGGGTTGGTGTCGTGGATCAGATATAAAGAGGGTCACTGAGGTTTATTGAGGTCTGAGGTCTTACACTCAAAGCACAACGGATGAACCGACTGTATTTTGTGTGTTATTTCTTCCAGATTCACTCTAGCATGATCCGGGTCTCTGTCAGCGATGCGTTTCTGTTTTCTGTCATGATGAACTCTCTCGAGTCGTGTTTAAGATTCACTGTTATATGTTCTGCTTGCATGTTGTGAATCAAAAAATCTGTGTATTTCAGTAAACTGTTTTCCAGCGCACCCGCCGTCCATGTAAGATCTTTCTGTTGCATCAACAAGAAATTAAAATCTTATTTTGTTAATTAATGTTTCTGGTCTTGTGATTCAGCTTAAACCAAATGAATGCATTTTATGAGTTTGAGTTTTCAAACATGCATTAAATACTGCATTCTGTGTCTGATACTGTAGGGTGGGATTTACACAAATGGAAGTTTAATTTTCACCACAAAATTATTTTTTATTTTTTTTAAATGTAGTTGTGACATTTCATTTACAGTTTAGACTTTTTTTCTCAGCATTGTGAGGTTACATCATACAATTCAGATTTTTCTTAGAATTGGAGTTTATATCTCAAATTACCTTTTTTTTTGTTTCTTTTTTTGGAACAAATAAGGCAATTGCAAGTTTTTATCTAACATTATTGACTTTTCCCTCAGAATTTTACATCTTGCAATTCTATTTAAAACAGATAAAAAGTGATTTTTCTTAGAATTGGAGTTTATATCTCAAATTACCTTTTTTTTGTTTCTTTTTTTGGAACAAATAAGGCAATTGCAAGTTTTTATCTAACATTATTGACTTTTCCCTCAGAATTTTACATCTTGCAATTCTATTTAAAACAGATAAAAAGATAAGTGCAACTTTTTAATCTCACAATTCTTTTTTTTTGAGTGTATATCTCACAATTTTAATGAATAAACTCGGTTACACTTTATTTCGATAGTCCACTTTCGACATTCTATTAACTACAAGTAACTTTGTAACTACATGTCAACTACATGTCAACTACATGTCAACTACATGTCAACTACATGTCAACTACATGTCAACTACATGTCAACTACATGTCAACTACATGTCAACTACATGTCAACTACATGTCAACTACATGTCAACTACATGTCAACTACATGTCAACTACATGTCAACTACATGTCAACTACATGTCAACTACATGTCAACTACATGTCAACTACATGTCAACTACATGTCAACTACATGTCAACTACATGTCAACTACATGTCAACTACATGTCAACTACTTCGCATTAATTTGCAACTACATGTCTACTAACTCAGAGTAGACTGTTAGGGTAGGTTTAGGGTTAGTAAAATAAGTTGACAAAGAAAGTGTTAGAAGATATTAAGCAGACAGTCTATTAATACTCTACTATTGAGTTGACATGTTACACGCTAGTTGACATGTAGTTGCAAAGTTACTTACTGTTAGTAGAATGTCTAAAGTGGACTATCGAAATAAAGTGTTACCATAAACTCAAATGCGAGCTAACATCTTCCAATTATGAGTTTCTATCTTGCACTTTAGATTTTTCTTCTCAGAATAGTGAGTTCACATCTTGCCATTTTCTTCCTATTTTCTCTGAATTTTGAGTTTATGTCTCGCAGTTTTGGCTTTATTTTAATACATCTTGGAATTCTAAGTTTACATTTTGCAATTGTGTTTTTTTTAATAAAAATATAAAATATTAAAAATAATAATACAAATCTAAAAAAACGTAATTGTGACATTTTAGCTCACAATTCTGACTTATTTTCTCCCAGTTGCAAGCTGACTGTTTTCTTCAAATTCTTTTCCTTGGAATTCTAACTTTATATTTTGCAGTGCACTTTTTTTTTTTTAATCAAAATTACATCTAACAATTCTGTTAAAAAATTAAATGAAATTAATTGCAACTTTTTAATCTCACAATTTGGATTTTTTTCTTGGAATTGCGAGTTTTCATCTCACAATCTTAAATTGTAAACTCTCAAGTGTGAGTTAACATGCAATTCTGACCATTTCTTGCAATTGTTTTTCTCAGAATTGAGAGATTTAAACTGAGAGAGAAAAAAAATCTGAACTGAGATAAAAGTAGCTTTTTAATTTTTTTTCATGGTAGAAATAAGCTTCCGTCCTGTATATATGTGACGTGATCAGCTGAGGTAACTCTCAAGGGCTGATGTGAGTCTGTATCTGCATCATGATGGCAGAACCAGCGGCTCTGTCCTCTTTACCCCGTGCCGTGACTCTTCTCCAGACCACACTGAATAAAACACACTCACCCGCCGGGACGATGCGCTCGCACAGGACGATGATAAATTACACCAGCAGCCAATTCCAGACACTCCACCGTCTCTCAGACCTGAATAAGGAGAGAACCGGAGTGAGATGATAGTTTGCAGACGGTGATTAATTCAAAGTGTAATTTACATGTTTATATAGAGTGCAGCACTTACAGAACTCATTTTGATTTATCAGGCTGAGGAAACAGAAACGCACACCTTCAGGATGATGAATTGGCCGCTGGAGTGCTTACAGTTGTGTTCAGTCAGAGAGAGAGAGAGAGGGTTCAAAGCACTTGCTTCAGTGTTTCTTATGCTCTCAGGCCTGTTTCTGGGCAGCAGGAAAAATTAAAGTTACATGCAATTAATAAAATGCAAAAACCTTATACTCATGCATATTTACAATATGATGATATATAATGCATGTAACAAATAATATTATATGCATACAGTAAAATGCTAAACCCTTTATACTTGTGCATATTTATAATATAATGACTTCTCAACTTTTGCGTGTAACAAATAATGTAACATGCAAATATTAAAATGCAAAAACTTTATACTCATGCACATTTACAATATACTGTAAAAACTTATCAACTTTTGCATGTAACAAATAATGTTATACGCAAATATTCAAATAAAAAAACCTTCTACTTGTGCATACATACAAAATCAGTCTAATTCAAGCTTTGCAAATAATGTAACATGCAAATAATAAAACACAAAAAATTGTTAAACTTATCTAAGACTTATCAACTTTTGCATGTAACAAATATTGTTATTTGCAAAAATAAAATGCAAAAACCTTATACTCACACATATATAAGATAGTCTTATTCAAATCTAGCATTTAACAAATAGCGTTACATGCATATAATAAAATGAAAAACCATTTTAACTTGTGCATATTTAAACATAAAGATCAACTTTTGCATGTAACTAATGTAAAACGCAAAAAAATAAAACACAAAAACTTTTTTACTCATGTATTTACAATGCAGACTTCTCTATTTTTGCATGTACACGCAAATCATAAAATGAAAAACCCTTTACACTCGTGCATATTTCCGATATAAATACTTATCAGCTTTTGCATGTAACAAATAATGTAACATGCAAATAATAACATGCAAAACCCTTTGCACGGATCTACAATTTAAAGACTTGTCAACTTTTGCATGTAACATATATCACATGCAAATAATAACATTCAGAACCCTTAATACTCATGCATATTTACAGTATATAGACTTGTCAACTTTTGCATGTAACATATGTAAAAACATTGTAAAAATGCATCAACTTTTTCATGTAACAAATAATGTTATGTGCAAATAATAAAATGCAAAAACCTTTAGACTGATGCATATTTACAAAAACTCTTGCGGTATCTGTTGTTGCTGATGTCAGGGTCACGAGTGATTTAGCAGAAGCTTGTCAAATCAGACGGATGAAGCATGAACAGGTTGTGTGATACAGCTCTGACAGCTCAACACTGACAGCACTGATAAACCTGCGTTTGTTTGGTGATGCTGTAATTGAAACATTGAAATTCATGAGACATTTACAAACCAAATTCATCAAATTGTCATCTTAATATTTGTGCATGTTATTCACATTATTTGTAAATGACAAAGTTTGATTTGCATGACGTTTAGTCTGATAAATGGACATAAATACATACTTATATACATATACATATACACACACACACACATATATATAGCTTTGTATATATATATTTTTTCTGTTCACATTTTGCATTTTTGTCAAAATCAAAAAGATTTAAATCATTTTGTTGTTTTTTTTGACATTTTTGTAGTATTTATTCAAGTCACATAATTTCAGTTTATAGTTTTTGTTAGTTTATATTTTTATAAATACATATTTTGTTTCTACGTTATTTTTAGTTAAAAGTTCTAAAAACTGTTGATATTTGTCATTTTTATTATTTATTATTTTATTTCTATATGGTATACATTATTTTTTACTTCATTATATTTAATTTACATTATTGTTATAGTTGTATTATATCTTTTTGGCAATATTTCACATTTTTTATAATGTATATATATATATTTTTTGTTTTGACTATTGTAAAGTTATATTTTCAGCTAACTGAAAAGAGAAATGCCTTGAAATAAATAAATAATAAATAAATAAATATTGTAGTAAAAAATGTTATGGTTTGTATGCATTTTTCATTTTCTCAATTTAGTTGAACTTTATGTCCTAAAATAAAATAGTTTAAAAAAACACATTCTAAAAACATCAAAAAGACAGAAAACAAAGATTTCTAAATTACTAAAACTACAACTAAACTTAAAATGGAAAATATATAAAAAAAATTCAAACACTGCTAAAAACGATAATATCTCAATTACAGTAAAATAACGCTGAAGACTAGTGTTCTCCAGCTGATTATCATTGTGGCCTAATCAAGCTTTTCTGATTCTGATAGCATCACAGAAATGATAGCGGATGCTGTCAGTGTGACTCTGAAAGTGTCTCTGTTGTTGTTGGTCTTGTTAATAATCAAAATAAATAAATATGGAGCTGTACATCAGCGGCCTCATGAATCACAGAGATGAAGAGCACATCATCATCATCCTCCTTCCTAAACATTTTGGGTTTACATTTTAATTTTAAACTATACCAAAAGGATAATAAGAATAATGATCTGTCTTCATTACAGTAATTGATTTCTCTAAATGACGTGCTGTTTTAATGAAATATAAAAATATTAAAAAGTATCAATATTGTGCAGCATGACTGTTTTCAACATTGATAATAATAATGTTTCTCGAGCAGCAGATCAGCAT